TTTGTTTTGTTTTGTGGCGAAGCTTTCGCGAAGCTTTCGACCCAAGTCCATGCATTGGTGCTAAAATAATTTAATACACTGGTGAAGATCCATGCAGGCTACAGATCGAAACCTAGTAATTAACCATTATTGGATGAGGTTTTTGTGATATGCGGAATTATCAAGGTGGAGGTAAGCGTTATCAGCCGAGCCGAAGCTGATAACGCTTACCGAGACCTTGATAATTTTGCATATCGCAAAAACCGAATAATAAATATAGTATATATAGTAACGCATAAAAACTTTATTTATGAAAACCTATCCATATTTACATTGTTTCTACGTTTGTTCAAAATTTTGCTTTGCTAGTTTTCCTTTGTTTGTGTTAATATATATATAGATACCGCTTTCTAATCATCTCTGCATGCATGCATGGATAACTGGATTTTGCGTAGGTTGCGTGATTTAACTGTAAGCTCTTAGCCAATGAAATTGCTTTTATCAACTACAATGTATAATGATACAAAATAAACGTGATGTTTCCACAAATATCAAACAAATATACTTCTGGTATGCATCATGAACAAGCCTTTCGGGGCGAAATTGAAACTTGTCCACTGAGTATATTAAATGAAGTAATCTAGTTTAGTGTCTCCTTACACTGGACCTCGACGAAGAACAGTCAGTTAATCACTCACTAATTCAGGTGAAATTCCAAAACCAAATGATATCACGAATGTTGACAATGAAGCTAGAGTAGGACAAATACATGCAAGATCTAAACTAAACAAACTAGTCAGTATACTCTATACGTCCAGTATATGTGAGAACATGCAGTCTACAATTATAAATAAAGCTATCCAGTATAAATAAACTTAGTTTCAATGTCGTTGAATTTAGTAGTTGCAGTGACAGCTAGTGTGCTTTCATGTTCATAAAAATGTTTAATAAGACCGAGCATTGTCGATTTTGGTAAAAAACTCATTAATAATTCGTGAGGAAAACACAAAGAAAAATCATAAGCGTGTCAAGCGTGTCGTATCTTTAGGCCTAAAGGAAGTACAGTTTAGAACTGGTATAGAGCTATCCATGTATATACGAAGTTATATAGTTTACTTTTTAAGTTTAGTTTTATTTTTTTGGCATGAAAAACAGATCTGTCTACATATACATCTACTTTCTAATATTGCAACATATAACGAGTGGGCATGCAGTATTGGTTACGACACGTTAAATTGCTAGTCAATGGTAATGGCATAATATATATGAGAAATTTCACCATGCTGAGATAATTTACTTCAGATGAAAATTTAGCCTTTAAATAACTTTTCGTTAATAACTCTCGCCCACGAAATGTATGTAAAAAGATGTTTGAGAAATGCAGCTTCTATGCTGCTACGGATAACAAATTGTTGCAAGCACTTCCGTAACATGTTTCTGGAGTTATAAACCGCCAATTCTGCTACGGAGATGTAGCAACTTGTTAATAAACTGGCCTGACAAGCAATGCAAACAGACAACCTAATGGCAGCTCCTTACAACAACCTTGATGGTTGAGTCATTAACATTGTAGCAACTTGTGCTTCTCGCCTACTTGCAACAAGCTGGAAACAAGCGACGCAAACACAACCTTGCATTCACTTGTTGCAGCAAGCTTGTAACAAGGCATGTACGCGGACAATTTGTCAGCACGCTGGGACTACAAGCAGTGAAACTAAAAAACACATCCGGATATAAGCAACTTTAGTCTACAACAAATTGTACATTTAAGCTTGTAACAAGACATGTATGACAATTTGTCAACACACTGGGAACAAGTAGTGAAAAAAAAACATCCGCATATAAGCAACTTTACAGCAAGTCTGCTGCAAGCCTACAACAGGTTGTGCGTTTTTGAATGCGTGCATCGAATGTGCGTATTAAGCTCTGGTGAAACGAGGCTGAGAGTTAATGAGAGTTGTCAGTCACCCATTGTTCCAGGGGACATTTCAAGGTCTATATTTACAAAATAAAGGTTTGATGAGTGTTCCAACTATGTTTTAACATGATAGTGTTGGGAAAGCATTAAGAACATCTATCAAGATCGCGTGACTACCAACTCTCATGAACTGTCATCCTCATTTAATCCAAGGCAGGAAACTATACCTATTCAAGACTGGAAACTATACCTATTCAAGACTGGAAACTATATCTATTCAAGTCTAAGGAAGAGTCAAATTCGAGGACACGCGTGATGAACACATTGGAATCGCTTAATTTTCTAACCATAGCTCAATATATTTATCATACGTAATGACTTGAAAGTTATTTTTAAGAAGCATGACCAAGCATTTTGCATCAGATTATACTGTTTTGCAAATGTAGGCCTAAGTATTCTATATACGGATATCGACCGCCTACCTACTTATCATGCTGTGTCCAAGTAACAAAGATTTTTGTCATATCCATGTTTCTATAACGAGATCCTCAGTAATGTGGCGGATCTATTGTTTGATTGTCAAAATATACCCACACATGAAATAAAAAATACCATGTTGGGAACATTTAGCTGGATTACATCACATGCAATCTTGCCAAAACTCATATAGTCATCCATAATAAAAAAATAATTTGATAAAACTGGTACAATGAACGAAGTAATCATTTAGATTTGGTGTCGCAAATTCGCTTAAATATTTTTGTATCAAAAGAGTGTAGATTACACTTGGCTGCTGGTAGGGAGCCAACACTCTAAATACCAATGGCCACCCACGTCCTGGCGGCATGCCACTGACATACCACCTGCAGTCTGACCATAGTTGGAGTTATCCTCGGCCCGCTACTATTTTTGTTATATATTAACGATATTTCGAACGTTCTTGACTTGATTTTATTTGCATACGATACAAATTTATTTTATTCTCATTAAGATCTATCACATTTAACGAGTATATTAAACTGTGAATAAGCTCTCAATAAATATAAAAAAATCTAATTATTATATGATTTTTAAACCCAGGCAGAAAAGATCGAATATTGATTTGCTGATAAAGTTGAATCGGATCATCAAATTAATATGGTCAAAGAAGTTGCTTTCCTTGGTGTCATTTTAGATGAAAATATATCGTGGAAATTAGTTTCTGCCTTTCTAAATTATCGTTACATACGCTATTACGCTCTAGTTTATCCATATCTTCAATATTGTATGGGGTTTGGTTATGCTGTGTGGGGTTTTACATATTCAACAAACCTTAATCGTGTCATTTTGCTTCAGAAACGTGCAGTTAGAAGTGTTAATAAAGAAGCATTTGATGCACACTCTGACCCAATTTTCAAAGAATTAAAAATTCTTAAATTTGATAAACTTTATTTATTTAACCTTGGTAAATTCATGTATTCCTATTATAGTAACCTTCTCCCTCAAAGTTTTGATGATACTTTTCTGCGGAAAACTGATATTCACAATAATTACACAAGGAATTTTGATTCGTACTACGTGCCCTTTTCTAGAACAAATATTCGGCAATTTACAGTTAATTATCAAGGACCTAAAAAATGTAAAAAGGGAGCCCAGATTCCATAAGCTTTTAGTAGTTTCTCTTAGCCAAGATAATCGAAATGCTTCAACTGCTTCATGTTTTCAACTTAAACTGAAAAATTATCTTTTCTGTATGTAACAGTGAACATTATATTCCAGTATCTAATAATTTACATCTCAATCTCTCTCTGTCTGCTCTGCATTAATTTTCTTTTCTATAATTGTAAGAACAATTATGATATGATGCCGCTTGTAATTATATTAGAATCTGTATATTCATGAATATGTAAAAAGGGAGCCCAAATTCCATAAGCTTTTAGGTTCTCTTTGGGCTTCCTTGCCAGTATACGCTATTGCATTGTTTTTATTCTATATGTAAATCTGGTGAAATAAATTGACTTGAGAGGGGAGCCCCGCCACACGCTCTGAGGTAAAGCCTGATTTGGCAAACCATTGTTTCATCTCATGTTATTCTTTTGTGAACAATCGTCACTGGGCAACGGGAAAAACAAACAAAAATCAAAACCATGTATCTGCTTTCATCAGCATTTTAACACAAACTTTATTCCTAGCCTTAGAATTATGTTATCCAGCAAAAACCTCTCGAAACATCCTTTAACATAGAGCTGTTTTGGTAGAAGTAAACATATAGAGTAGTTTAGTAGAATGGACAATTTTGGTTTCGTTTTATGCAGTTTCGGCGCCCTCTAAAAGCTTTTGCGCCCTCTCAAATCCCTCGCAGGGGGTACACGCCCACCTCGCACCTCCCCCTCTTTCCAGCACGCCACTGGTTACGAAAAATTATTTTGCCTAGTTTTCTCCATGCCTGCAGATATTATTTATGCGGAGGTGGTCAAGAATTTTTCGACTTGTCAGCCAGTCACTCCATGTTTAGACAGATAGCTTCCACGGTCTCCACGTGATTTTTGGAGTAGACCTCTATAGCTGACTCTTAATTCAACTAAGTGTTGAAATTTTGAAGCACCCATTTTGAATTTTGAATTAGCCTTTTAGGGCAGTTGGTTTACATTGTCACAGTAAGAATGTGATCACAGTAGGAATTTTGCATGGGGAAATTTCAAGTTTTGAAGGATTTGTAAGAAATTTGCGAGGGAACTGAGTCAGTGTTAAACACTGAGTCAGTTCCCTCAACATTTCTTACAAACCCTTCAAAACTTAGAATTTACCGATGCAAAATTCTGACTGTGATCACAGAAACTTTGATAGTGTACACCAGGCGACTATGGATAAAGCTTCACTCCATCGAGTCATGCTTTTTCTCTTTGATCACATTTCGATCTTTCCACTGTAGTGTTTGGACAAGACAATGGCGTAGTACCAGCATCGCGTAAGTGAAGTCTCTTTACCTTTGTATAATATGGTATTATTTTAGTGAAATTCCAATTCCAGTAGCAGCTGTTTCATATTTTTTGTTGTTTCCTGCAATTTAGAGGGAAATGTAAGAAATTTCAACACACGTTGGCTAAGTCTCGAGGGAGGGACAATGCTCAGGATCTATGGCAAAGGTAACCGAATTTCATTATATCTATATTATAAGGGTTCAGATGGGACTGCACGTGTTTTTCAATTTCATGTTTCATGTTTCTTTTCAATTATATTCAACTAGTTAAAACATGAGCAGCCGATCTTTATCTGATATACAAACTCGAGCCGAAAGCGAGAGTTTGTATATCAGATAAAGATCGGATGCGAATAAATAAAGTTAGTTTAGTTTAGCCTTCCTCCTGTAGAAACACTCATTAAAAAGAGATAACCCTTACTGGATCTGTAGGGAGAACAGTTTAGAACTGATAGAGCTATCCAGTACAAATAAAATTAGTTTAGTTTCGGCTTCCTCGTGCAGAAACGCTGGATCATTAAGAGATGTCCCTTACTGGATCTCTAGGGAGAACAGTTTACTGATAGAGCTATCCAGTATAAATAAAGTTAGTTTAGTGTAGGCTTCCTCCTGTAGAATCACTGAATCATTAAAAGATAACCCTTACTGGATCTCCAGGAAGAACAGTATCAGTATCGATAAATAAAGTAAGTTTAGTTCAGCATAAATTGGCTCCACATGTTATGTTAGTCCCACAGACTAAAACATAACTTTCTATATAGTCTCAGGAAGTCAATCTAAGGAATTATTTTATGTGTGTAGGTTTTTCAGGTGACCAGTTTGCGTTTGATGATCCAACATTGGGCAATGTGGTGACCCTCGCAGGAAGGGATGGAGTCAAAATACCTTGTACTGTGGTACAAACTGACACATCTACTACGAAAATTTCATGTGAATTGGGGTAAATTTTATTCATATCCTTGAGCGATTAGAGATTCAATCTACCTGACTGATATAACAAGATCTTCGCTCTTCAAGACTACTTAAAATGAAGGTCCTTCACTGGAAGCGTGGAAATTGTTGTTATCGAGCAACAACATTTCATCTCTGAGATTGTGGGTTCGACTCTCGTGACACTTTATTGCATATTATCCGGCACTAACGCAGTTAAGATTTATATTCTCAGTTAAGCAATCTTGTATCAAGAGCCTTCACTGTTTTTTTATTATCATTATCCTCACTATGCCTATATATTACAAATAATATAACTTTAATTGTAAACTTAAATTGTACTCATAAATTATTATTACTTTCATAAGTGTTTCCACCTCCTCTGATTGCATTTGTAGGCCCGGGGCCACCCCCCGCCCGCCACCCTCTCGGCGGGCCTAATCTCTTTTATATTTTTCTTAGAAAACCTCCAGTAGGTCACGAGGGAGACACATATTCACTTTCAATCACAGTCAATGGTGAACCATTGGGAGGGGGACATCGTCATACCTATTGCTGGGGCATTTGTAGATTTTATGTGAGTTTGTCATTAAATATACAATACATACTCTTCGTTTGTACGATGTATATCATCATACACATTGATAACCCGACCTTCACCCCACCCACTTCACCCCTCGCCCCCACTCTAACCCCCTCACCCCATCCTCTAACCCCTCACCCCACCCTCTAACCCCTCACCTCACCCTCTAACCCCTCACCCCTGGTTACGTCTACAATAAATGTATAAAAATTCCATTCGATATTTCCATCTACGAATTCTTTCAGCAAGACGTTTATCATTGTTGAATAATTCTACAATTTGTAAAAACTCTTTATATGAAAGATTGTGGTGTTATGTACGTAGGTGGGGTTATATTTAAGATGCCAAATATTTGTCAATTTACAGTTCCAAAGCTGGAGAACACCAACAATTACGAACATAGACAAACAGGCCGGCCCATCAGGTACAAAAATTGAATATACAATGAGGTAGACGATTTTGTCAGTGTAAACTGTAAAAGTTTGTACCTCTCATGAAATGAAGTAGACCCCTATTCTACATTATTCTGTTTACTACGAGACATAGACAAGGTGAAAAGCAAATTGTTTTATTCTTTGCTATTGAACATATACCCAGAAAACAAAGCTGTGGGAAAAGAATGCCTGCATTATTCAGTGGCTACATCGGCGGTAGGTAGTTTGCAATAATGAAGGTGAATCACATTGCATAAAGAACATTCACACTGTATTTTCAGATCAAGTTATAAAGATCACAGGAAGATTGTACACCAGTCAATTTGGCCGTCTTTCTGACAACACTGGCGATAGTTTTGATCATAGTACTCATCCTACCGAAATTACACGGTTCGTACAAACAAGATGACTTCATATATACTGGATAGCTTATAAACAGTGGAAAATAATTTGCGAAATATTTTTTGGGGTGCGAAATCAAGTTGCCAACAATACGACTACCTCTTTTCGCTAATAACAATAAGAAACTTTAATCAAACTCGCTAGGAATATATTTACAATACCATGTGAGAACGAAACAAAAGACATTATAACAAACAAAGGCGAGTTAGATATGGGATCGGCGAACGGACTCGAAGTCCCAACAAGGCAAACCCCACACATAAATTACAACTAGAAATTCACACTACGAAAACATAAAACTTCAATCAAAGTTCTCTAATACCACTGAACAGACAGCCCAGTCTCTTGCTCAGGTTGACTGCACATACCAACTTAGAAACAAATTAATTTATTCGGAATTATTTCAGAAAACAATCCTAATCCTAACACATGCGCTAATACTAACCCTAATTCTAATTTTAAAGATAGGGGTGTAGCTGGAGTACTTTTTGCCTTAAATGTCATGTAATATATAGCTTAATTTATAGCCTACGAATGCTACCATGTCCATGGTTAAAAAACTATTGTTACAGCTTTGGTACATAGTTATTCGGCTATTACTCCAAGGCTTTCAGAATTATTGGGTTATTATGGGGGGAGAGGTGGTGGTGATGGGTTCCTCGTAGAGATGTTGGAAAGATAATCCCTTTACTATTCCAATTCTACAACAAGAGGAAAACCAAGTACTAGGAGAAAACCTGCCACACTGCGTAATTATCGAGCAATGCCTCATTTCATGATCTCATTGCGTATGTTTCATTCAAATATGAAGTACCTTAATTTCCATTTTTGACTAATTTTTTATCTTGGCATAAAAAGTATATTCCCGGAAAAAGCATGCTAAAATGAGTAAAATTGCAAAGTTTGGTTGCGAAACGTTGTAAAAAGCGGAAAATATAGCCTTGCAAATTTCGCAAATTTTGTATACTTTTGTATTGCGTGCGGAAATTGCTACCACATTTGGGCCGAAAATAGCAGCAATTTCCACACGCAATACAAAGTACACACAATTTGCGAACTTTTTGCAAGGCTACACTTTCCGTATTTTACAACATTTCCCAACCAAACTTTGCAATTTTACTCATTTTAGTGTGCTCTTTCTAGCTGTGGTGATTTTGCATCTCCTTGCCTAGTTTTAAAATTAATCTATTATGGGAATTGTCTATTCCTGAGTGAAATATTTTGTTTTCTAGAGTGTATCTTGGTGGGTACAACTGTGATACCAACGATGAAAATGGACAAGTGTAAGAATGTTCTTGATAACCTTTTGACATGATCCTGCTCAAAAAAGTGTTCATCAATCGCTTGACCTATGAGGCCAATTTATACATGCAATTTTTGTTGAGATTTTAGCTGCGGAATTTCTTCTTCTGATGGATGTGAACGAGTGGACGAGTTATAAATGTTCAGACCAGAGCGCACCTACTCAGAACATTCATTACTCGTCTACTCGTTCACATGCACCAGAAGGAGAAAATTCAGAAGAAAATAGACATTTAAATATAAATCTTTTCTCTAAATCTCACCGTAGGTATGGAATAACCTATGTGCCATATTCTGGACACTTCATATGTAGAGGAGAAATCACAGCACCAGGTGAATGTCTTTCAACAAAAATTCTTTCCTCTGGTCAATAAAAGTTCCCCTTATCATCTCTGTGACCAGAGTTGTGACCATGTGTCGTTGTCATTATAATTTCGACCCATGCAGTCGCATGAAGAAGAGTGCTTCCAGTTTGACTCTATCAAACAAACACTACAGGCTATCCTATCCTCCCGTAGTAACACTGGATCAATAAGAGATGATCCTTACTTGACCTCTAGGAAAAACAGTTTAGAACTGATAGAGCTATCCAGTATAAATAAAATTAGTTTAGTTTAGGTTTCCTCCTGTAGTAACACTAGATCAATAAGAGACGATCCTTACTGGACCTCTAGGAAGAACAGTTCAGAACTGATAGACCTATCCAGTATAAATAAAGTTAGTTTAGGTTTCCTCCTGTAGTATAACACTGGATCAATAAGAGATGATCCGAGAACAGTTTATACTAAATTTTGTATATTTTTTGAAATATGAAAGTTTATCTTCTACAATGTAGGTTCCTACGGTGTCTCTTATCTCGTCTCGAATTACGGTCGATCACAGATAAACAACAACGATCTTAGTCTTGTCGATGCTAACGATGTTATTTATCAATATCAAGCTCATTCGGGTAAGATTTGGACATTACTACCAATAGATAAATACCGAGATTTTGCGCATCTCGTTCGATACTATTAATACTAGATAGGTTTTGTAGATGAAATTTTCGCAAATTTACATACATTTTTAATTAAACCTAAACTTAAACCTTAATTTACACCCGTTTTCAAAATTACGCGACCTCCCTGAAAAATACTCCTACTTCAAATGTCAGTTTTATGTCACAAGAACTGCTAAAAATAGCAAACGTATTAAACAAACTGTCTAAAGACATTTTAAACCGTATTTAATACCAAAACTGAACAAAAATGAGTCAGATAACTTAGATATACAAACTAAAGCACAATACAAACCATCACAACATAAATATGTGCCGTGAATGACTTTTAAAGTTTGAAAAATAACAATTTATCCTGGAATATAGCTGTCAGTATAAAACACGCGCGCTAGACTATAACGGTGATGTTATGATTTTGTCGTGCTTAAATTTTACAATAATTCTCACTAAAATATCTTGAAAATCATTGTAAGTCTGTTTATATCAAGCATACAAAGCATATACATCGACAAGGAACCGCAAAACTCAAAATTTGAACTTCGTGATCGAATGACATAAAACTGACATGTCAACTCTAGCATTTTCGTCTTTGGTCGCGTAATTTTGAAAACGGGTGTAAACCTAACCCTGGCGCAGGCGAAACTAGGCCTTGATTTCTCAGCATCTATTTTTCGTACGCTCATCAAACATTGTAGGCGAATAGCATGGGTCTTTGGTGGCGCAGTCGTCAGAGTAAGCACCTTTCATCTCTGAGGGTTCGATTCTCGCTATGGACTCATGTGTGGACTCATGTGAAAAGAGTCAGTCAACGCTCTGCCGAAAGTCGTGGGTTTCCTCCTGCAAGCGCTCCAAACTCCTACAGCCCGGTGTGGATGCACACTCACAGTAACATCACAAACATCATATTCACCTGAGTACATAACACCAACACACACAAAAAGTATCGTAAATATAATTAATTACATGTCATGCATAAATTATACAATGGGCAAATTACACATTCAGTTTACACTGCCCAGCAAAGCAAGACCAACTTTTGCTAATTTCTTATTTCAAAATTTAATCCATTTGTCCTTGGGCAATGTCCATTAATTCCACATTTTCTTATTAGTACGTTTGATAGTTTTTCAGTTATCGCTGGCCTATAGTCATTTTTCGCAATTGTTCCGGGTAGCTTTTCAGAATTTGTAGACCGTTCCAAATCAAAAAGCAGAAATGTTGCCATTCGAAAAGTATTCAATGTACTGCCTTGAAATTTTGCACACGCAGAGATTGAGACCATAGCTATTTTCCTACAATGTTTGGTGAGAGTACGTAAAATACATGCTGAGACATCAAGGCTTATTTTTGCCTGCACCAGTGGTAATAACAGCTCCGCATGACTTACCACATCATGATTCTGTTTTCAGATGTTACAAGTGTTGAACCAAGAAGCGGCAGCCGCGCTGGTGGAACGATCCTAACAATCAAAGGAAAAGCATTCAGTTTTATTAAAGAGAATGTCAAAGTTACCGTGGGAGGTAAACTTTTCTTCAATTCTTGAAGTGATCCTTGTGATGATATCTTACGACATATACCGGGTGTCCCAAAAAAACTGCACACTGTTTGATTTCATGTAAAGTAAAAGCTATAAAAGCTATCGCAATGAAATAAAGATCATTACATTTAGAAAGGACTAACTTATATTTTGATATATAGCACATGCAATATGGAGTGAGATATTGATGTTTGAATGATTTTGGACAGATCTGATAGACCTATTCAGTCAGTTTAGCATTCTAAGTTTTTAGTTAATTTATGTAATTTTCCACAGGTGTTCCATGTGAAGTCCTTACGAGTAATCGAGATACAATCACGTGTAAGACAGGCGCACTTCATGAAGAAAACGAAGGCAGAGATTTCTACCCAGGTTTGTATGTCAACGTTGATGTCGTAATTGGCATTGTTTTACAACTTCGCGATATAAGAGAAGAGAAGAGAAGGGAACCCAAATACTTAAACTATCCAAAATGTACGAGCTTTGTCATGTAGATGACTTTTACCCTTCTTCTTAATTTCAACTCTTAATTATTTCACATTGACTAGGTGGTCGAGGGTTCATATGTGATACATGGCCAATACTGCAATGGATTCCCAATGTACGAGACTTTAATCCTAACGCAACATACGTACATAGTCATGTTCATCAGATGCACACAGATTTTGCCACGTGTGTCAATGATCCATCATTTGTGAAACCGACTTACAGGTTGGTTGGTCGGCTGATTGCCTATTTCGTGCCACCTTCCAGTGGAATTTACAGATTTGGTTCGACATCTGACGACAGCAGTGTTGTGTATTTGAGTAACACTAGTTCACCTTTGGATAAGGTAAGTGATAGCTCAATTTCCATATTAACAAGCACAATTTAAATGCAGCGATTTTTTTCACTCCTAAACTAAATGCCGGAAAGCATTTGTATTGAAAGATTGCTGTACATACGCTGAAAACTAATAAACCGCTTGAACTCGAGTCTAGTAAAAATCTACCGGAAAGAATATGAATTTGAAGACTACTATACCTTCCCTAAGCCCCAAAATAAACTCAGACGAGAAATAATTCAACTGACCCAGAGAATTCAAATTGAAGCTTACCTGTACAGTACTTATACTAAGAACCAACAGTTTGAAGTTTGAACTATAGTAAGAATCTACTACAAAGGGCGTGTATTTCAAGAGCACTACCTACACTGAGAACCAACAGTTTGGCGTTTAGGCTATAGGACGTGCATTTCGAGACCAGTATTTAACCAGACACCAACCGTTTGAAGAGAGAAAAGAGAGGAAAAAAAATTGAAAAAAACTACAACAATGTGCATTTCAAGATTCCTACCTAATTTGAAAACCAAGATGCAAACTAAGTGTGCTATATTCGTACATGATACATCCTCTTTAACTTTAGAGAGAAATTGCTTCCAACAGATATTATACGGGTCCATACAATTGGAACAGGTTTGAGACACAGTGGTCAGAACGTATGTACCTTGAGGAGGGCCGTGGGTATTATATTGAAGGAGATTATTACGATACTGGTGGCGCATACTTTCTAAACCTCGGCATGCACAAAGAAACAACAAGTCTTACAAAGGATGATGTTCCCATGGCCGTACAGGAACAGCAGTATTTGAAAATCTATAACACGATTGAAGAGGAGGCGCAGGTATTGCAAAATAAAGAAGTTTTCCTTAATTTTTCAGGTAGTTCAGCCACATGGTAGTTTATTGTAGAATACTACCTACACTGGACCACCACATTTGAAATATATTTTACAGGTAGTTCAGACACAAACCACGACAGCTTATTGTAAAATACTACCTACATTGGACCACCACGTTTGAGATATCTTTTTCAGGTAGATCAGACACAAACCACGACAGCTTATTGTAGAATGCCTATACTGGACCAACCACGTTCGAGATATATTTTTCAGGTAGTTCAGACACAAACTACGACAGCTTATTGTAGAATACTACCTACACTGGACCACCATGTTTGAGATATCTTTTTCAGGTAGTTGAGACACAGACCACGACAGCTTACTGTACAATACTACCCACAATAAACCACCACGTTTGAGATGGACCCCACATGGACCCCATCATCATAGAATGCACAGTTCGCTAGGAATAATTTGTGAAATTGAGGCATCTACTTTTAGACAATTAGGTATGAGAACTGGAAAGACGGGTTCGTCCAACAGGAAGAACAACTAGTGACGGTGAAGCAATGTTCATTGGTGAACAATCTATGTCAACAACCACCATCATTCAGCTTAAACTACAACGGAGATATCACTGGGTCTCTAACTCCAAACATTTCTGCTGCAGATCTTCAAACTGCACTCAATGTTCTTCCTTCAATAAATAATGCTGGGTCTGTCACAGTGACCTTGGAATCGTCCGGCAGACAGGAGAATGTTTACAGGGTTGAATTTAACTTTGCCGAACCTGAAACGACTTCAATGCTCCAGGATGGAAGTCAGTTACGAGGACAGTTTGTGAGCGTGGCCGTTGACAAGGCTGGGATAAACTCAAACAAAGGATTCAGGTTAAGTCTTGGTGGAAAACGAACACAAGTGATTCCACCAAATATGACCGAGGCAGGACTGGAAAGTACCTTTACTCAACTTTTCACCACGCAATGCACATTCTCTGCAAATACAGGTAACATACGATGATGCTCTTCCATAGTGATGTAAGGGCGTAGCCAGAACCAAAGGAATAGGGGGGGGGGGGGCTTCCAATCATCCAGCCAAGGAAACTAGGGTTACCGTATTAACAAAAGATAAGTTTGTTCCTTGACCTTTTACAAATCTGCATGTGTATGTATATATATATATATATATATATATATATATATATATATATATATATATATATATATATATATATATATATATATATATATATATATATATATATAGTACAATCTGCAGACATGCATGTTTCGGCGTTCAACGCCTCGTCAGTGCAGCTTCGTACACGTCTAGATACGTGAGACACTCGTATATATACCCCATGAACTTGCTCTCACCAAGGCATGTGGTACAACACGGTGACTCAACGCATCCAGACATGCGCAGAGCGTAATGGGGCCAGAGTGCTCAAACAACCACAAGGGAAGTGAGCTTTGCATTATCGCTAATAGACACCCATTAACAACTCTGCAGAGTGCTCAACAACACCGAAGTATATATATATATATATATATATATATATATAATATAAATATATATATATATATATATATATATATATATATATATATATATATATATATATATATATATATATATATATATATATATATATATATAGATATAGATTGTCTATATCTTAAAATTAAATATCGCTACTCTGAGTTCCACGTCCTTTCTAGACGATCATCAGGCGATTTTGTTCACGATTTTGTTATTGATTAATACGCTGCTGCTCGTTTCAAAATGGACCACTTAATACTGTATTCCCTTTTCTTGTCCTTCAAATCCCATACGTATTTGGAAAGTTCTGTGTCAGACGAGTACGCAGGCTTATTTAACGACTTTTTGTGATTTCTGTATCTAACCTTGAACTCCGTGGAAGTCATTCCAATGTATTCTTTGGTCGTTCCATCATGGGGCGTTGTTATTTCTGCCTTATAAACTACGTTGCTGGTCAAACACTTTTCATTCAGTGGACACACGTTAGATTTCCTGCAGTCACATTCACAGTCCCAGTCATTTTCCTGCAGTCACATTCGCGCGCGAACAAACAAGTTAACGCGTCAGCGAACGGTTGATGATGATGCAATCACGTAATCAGTAACAAAATCGTGAACAAAATCGCCTGATGATAGTCTAGAAAGGACGTGAAACTCAGAGTAGCGATATTTAATTTTAAGATATAAACAATCTAATAAGCTCTGCTATACTTTTAGTATTGAGCACTTTATATATCTAGACAACCGAAATAAATTGAATTATATATATATATATATATATATATATATATATATATATATATATATATATATATATATATATATATATATATATATATATATATATATATATATATATATATATATACATATATATACGGATGAAACAGACTGTTGTGGTTTTTGAGGTAAAACGAAAAACTATATATATATATATATATATATATATATATATATATATATATATATATATATATATATATATATATATATATATATATATATATATATATAGTATATATATATATATATATATATATATATATATATATATATATATATATATATATATATATATATATATATATATATACAGGGTGTATCAAAATAAACGCAATTCATCTTTTGTGCTTAATAACTTTCGAAATACTATTTCCAGTTAAACGCTTTTAGGCTTACTTCAAAGCCTGTTCTTTTCTCTTTCAAACAAACTATTATTTTTGTCTCCAATGCTAGTAATAATTGCACAGGAAAAGATTTAGTAAAACCTATCATTTTTAGTTGCTGTTTAATTATGCAAGTTTACTATGTTATTGTTTAGTCGGTTTAAATGTTAGAATTTTCTTCTTTAATTTTTTAATGTTGTCGTCACTACATCTGGAAAACCACGTAAGAACAAATTAAAGTATTTTAAAAGAGACCAGGTTGTTTGAAAATCCTAAACGAATGCTAAAATCGTGAAAACATTCTGGTGTCTGAGCCAGAGTGTCATCGAATTGCGATGTAATGTAAACAGAAATTATAGCAAGTTGATGTCAGTCAGCTTAGATGGTCCAAGCCAAAATTATATCGCATTTGAAGTTTCAAACTAAGTTAAAAATAGTGGAAGAAAAGCCGTAATTATACTTATTGTTACAATCCATTTAAAAAAATGCAACATTTTTTTGTTTTAATGAAAAAATCAGTTATTTTCATGAGAACGATTTGTTATTCCATCTCAATTTTTTAATCTCCAATCGCAATAACGTAAAGTATTATTATCCGTGAACCAATGAGTCAAATTTAAGAAACAACCCACTGTTAGAAAGCTGAATGGCTACGCTTTAAAATGAATGTAAACTTTAAAGTTTTCGTCTATTATTTGTTTAGCAATTTACATTTCAGTCGAGGATTGCGCTTTTTTTGATACACCCTGTATATATATATATAAACGGGTTGTTTTTCGTTGAAAGACTAAAAAGAGTGCTCAATACTATAAACAGTACAGTAGAGCTATGTAATTAACGTTACAAATATCTTAAAATAACAATGTTTTTGCGCTACTCTGAGTTTCACGATCTTGTCTGATCGATCTTCAGGCGATTTATGTCCGTTTAATTAGTTTGTTTGATTTCGTGATTTTCGTTGACGCACGCGCTTGCGATGGAAACTTCCAGCTTGGAACCGATCTTTAAGGCGACATTTTCCGAAGATTTCCGATCCTTTATTAAGTAACGTTTTCTGGTCTGCTTTCATAATGGATAGTTTCTCCTCGTTACACAGATTACATCGCGTGCTACCGGACGCGTAGGGTGTTGAATGTTTCAGAATAGACCAATTGATGGCAAAAGCCTACCCTTTAAATTTAAGTTCCCATATATACTTCGACAGTTCAGTTTCTTTCTCATACCGAATAAGATTAAAAGATTTCTTATGGTTGCGGTATCTTTCTTTAAATGAATTTGCTGTCATGCCTATATATTCCTTCTTCAAACCGTCATCCAGGGATGTTCTCGGCTTGCAGGCATTTGTTATCCAGGGGACATTCATCCTGTTTTATACAGTTACATGGTGTTTCAGGTTTTGTAGCTTCGCTTCTTCCTAAGATTTTCCGATTGTGCCGTGAAATAACATTCTTAACATTTGGCA